ATTTATATTTTTATGTCCTTTTACCATTTCCTCTCACCTTTTATTTCCTTTTTTAATACAATGAGCCATAACATTATACGCAATATTTTTGCCTGTTGTGAGAATTCAGTTTTTGGGGGGTGCTAAGTAATGTTTCTCCCTCTTTTGTTTTCAACAATAACTATGGTTTAAGTGTGAAAATTTATTAAGAGTATACATTCTTAGCTTTTACTTGAAGACTTAAAAAGAAACTCACATTTTAATATACTGTGAAGATGGTCCCCTATTAATAATTCTGTTCTTTATTAAAATTTATTATTATTAATATTTGCCTTTTTTGAGACAGCGTCTCCTTGTAGCCCCAGCTGTCCTGGAACTCACTATGTAGACCAGGCTGGCCTCGAACTCACAAAGATCCACCTGCCTCTGTCTCCCAAGTGCTGGGATTAAAGGCATGCCCCACCACACCCGGCCCATGTATTATTATTTTTAAAACTTTTTACAAACAGGAAAAAATGGTAACAGTGTCTTTCTTTATTCTCTTTAATGTTTTCTTATTTTTCTAAGATAATTAGCCAGTCATCCATAGGTCTGACAAGATTATGAGGAACTCACTTTTCATAACCTCCTTTGTTGCAATTAAATAAAAATGAATGGCCTTTGGAAATGTAAGTTACCAATTAAGAATTAAATTATCATGTCCTAGTTGCTGGTTCCAATTGCATCAAAGCAGGATAACCAAGCTCAATGAGGGCAACATTCATTGTACTTTGAAAAGCTCTGAGCGTGCCCCAAGGGACATGGTGGGATTATGGCTCCATTCATAGTGATCACAGTCAGAAACCAGAGCCCCTCTAAATCATCACAGGTCAGCAGAGATGTCACTGTGCACCTCTAGCAGAGGTCCTGGACATACCCCAGAATCACGGCAATGCTCTCCTTTCCTTCCAGGCCAAGCAGAGTTGCTTCGTGAAGAGCTGTATTTCTGAGCCTATTTGTGGGGGAAATTTTCCATGGTAAATCCTTAGTATCATTAGGAAAATGGACAAGGTGATGTGACCAAAGGACCTTTTGGCCTTACACGCTGAGCTGAAAAATAACTAATCTGTTATATTAGTTACTTTTCTGTTGCTGTGATAAAACACCATGACCAAATTACCAAGGTAATTTATAGAAGTGTTTTTTGGGCTTACCATTCCAGAGACGTAAGAGTCCATCATGGTGGGGAGGCATGGCAGGAGGGCAGCTACAGCAGAAAGCTGAGAGCTCACCTCTTCAAGCAGGCACAGGAAGTGGAAAGAGCAAACTGGAAGTGGGCAAGGTGCTCTAAACGCTCAAAGCCTACCCTCAGTGACATGCTTCCTTCAGAATGGCTGTACCTTCTGAACCTCCCAAAACAGCACCACCAACTGGTGAGAAAGTGTTCATAATCTTGGAGCCTATGGGGGACATCCATTCAACCATCACACCTAAGGCTATCTCCTGGTCTCCCTCTCTGCTCCTGACCTTGGCTTTTGTAGACAGAAAGGGGAAAGTCTAGAAACACTATTTTTTTTTTGGTCTTTTTGAGAAAGGGTATCCCTGTAGCCTCAGCTGGCATAGCAATCACTATTGCAGACCAGGCTGGCCTGGATCTTAAAGGGATCTACCTGCTTCTGCCTCCTGAGTGCTGGGATGGAGGGCTTGCACCACCACCTGCTGAAACACGAATTTTATAATGTGAAAAGTCCACAAGAATCTGGTTTGTTATCAATTTAATGAAAGCTAATAAACGCTATTTGAGCAATTTACTACAAGAGTTTATGAAATTCATTGTACACAGCCTCAACTTTAACTTAGGCACTCTTGGTAATTGTGTATAATATAACTTTTCAGGGATTCAGTTCCCGGTTTTGAGTAGGGGAAGTGACTGCCTTCAGTGAGTTTTCCTTCCAAGCTATCAAAATAATCACCAATCTTAGGAGCCCATAGGCACACCTGAGGGAGACCAAGCTTATTTTGCTGCAGTGCTGGGTTCCCTCTCTACCCTTCCTGGTCAGGTTTGAATAATGATGGAGCAATAGCTCCCAAAGAGTTCGGTTCCACCACTGAGTAACCAAAAAGAAGCGTCTACAGGGATCCGTTTCTGCTCGCCAGGGGAGGTGTGGGGTAGGGGGCAAAACAAAACAAAACAAAAAACAGATCGCACCGGATGCGGAAGTCAGCTGCATTGGTCACTGGGGAGTGTAGTCCCTTAGATAAAAGTGCCAAGGAACAGGACCGGGCAGGGCGAGGATCTTGACTACGTTTTATGAACGTAGTTTTAACAAAAAGAAGAGCGACTCCAGGTGCCACCATGGCTAGCCTCCAGATGACCAAAGCACGCTGCTCAGAAACTGGCCGGTGGGAGGCCGGTGGTAGCAGCGGGCTTTCAGTGCCCTGCTGGTGGCGCGGGGCATGTTGGGCGGCGTGGTCCTCCGCCTGGAGGGCTCTGGGTAATGTAGTCCCAGCGCCTGCTGGGGGGCGATCCCCCCCTGGTCACTGGAGCTGCCCCTTGTTCTTTGGTGGCTCTGGTGAGTGCCGCTCCCGGAGGCCCTGTTTTGCAAGGAGATGAAGGTCCTGCAGGGCTGGTCTAGGGACAAGCTGGGCACTGGGCAGGTGGGGCAGGAAAGTGGAGCTGAGGGGACACGCTGGCGTGACTCGCTCCCTGCCTCCCAAATGTCTTATTTTGGCGGTGTGGAGTTGGGTGAGCCTCATCTTTGAAGCTGGAAGGGAGGTGGGTGTGGTGTTCGGCCCTTATGTACCAGAGTTCTTAAGGGTGAGGACAAGAGTTTGGCGTTGGTTGGAATCCCATTATTGATAAAAGAGATCCCTCAAGCTCTAAGTTCCCACCCTGGTGAGGATTGTATGAGTAGGTTTTAGGGGTGTGAGGTGGTGGGGTGGGACTGCGCCTAGGGCCAAGCATACTTGGAGCTTTCCTCCTTGGTTGGCAGCTGGTGGTTTGGGGGTCCTACCACCTCTTGGCCTCGCTTGGGAGGAGGAGCTGGCTGCGTGGCCTAGCCAAGCAAGCCCAGGTTTCATTGGGTGTGAGATGGCCATGTTGGCCCGATCTTGGTGTCTCAGTTTAGTCTCCCCTGAGTTTGGGCTTTGGAAAGGAGGCCATCAAGCTGGGACCCATTGGTCAAGTTTTTCAAAGTTCCCAAACACTTCTACAAGAATCCTAGGATTTTAGATTCCATTTTTATGTTTTATTAGGAAGAAATTCCAGATAGCCAGAAACACTATACAACTCCAAAGCCTGTCATCCAGATCCAACACTTGCCACCTTGTGACCAGTCTTGAATCATCTCTGAGTGGATACACAAGGAGTCCTTACAACCGTTTAGAGTCTGTTCTCCATGGCCATATTTTCACAGGCTGTCACTTGGTAGTTTTGTCACCTTGGCAAGGCCCTGAACTCACTGTTCCTCATCTGTAACATGATAGCAGCATCTACTTGTTTGGGCTATGTAAGGATAGAATGAAGAGTGCCTACCTGGAACAGCCCCTGGTGTATTTAAGTGCTCAGTGTCTTAGTTTTTCTTACCACAGGCAGAGAGGATCATCTTACCCTTCCTGTTAACAGCTTGTCTGGCCAGGCTGAGTTCTTCCACTATATCCCAGCTTGGTTCCTGGGAAGCTACCCACAGTTCTTTCCATCTTGTCTTTGTGGCAGGTCCATTCCTGATGCCTTTAAGGAAGAAGAAGTGCCCTGTTCTGTTGGAGCCTGAGACTTTCCGGTAACTGTCCTGGATGTGTTTTTGCTCTTGTGTTTTCCGTGAACCCTGGCTGCCTAAAGAAGACTTCCTGCTGGGGAAACAGTATTTTTGGACTCCAGACTGCCAAGCTTCAGGTGAGTACCATTCACTTTTGCATCCTGAGCCATGACTAGGTTTCCTTTGCTCATTTTTTTAAAATTAATTTTATGTATGTATGCCTGCATGTAGGTAAGTGCACCCATGTTGTGCAATGCCCGCGGAGGACAGAAGAGGCTGTCGGATCCCCTGGAACTGGAGTTATAGACAGTCGTTAGCTGCCATGTGGGTGTTGGGATTTGAACCCGGGTCTTCTGCAAGAACAACTAGTGTTCTTAACCACTGAGCCATCTCTCCAGTCCCTCCTTTGCTCACTTTTGACATCTTGTGCCCTGTTAGGGATCAGAGTGCCAGCTGGTTCCTCCAGGACAACAGCCTTGTTCTAAGGGTGACAGTTTTCACAGGGAATATTCAGACTGGGTGCTCTCCTTCATTACATCTCAGTCATTTCCTCTGCACTCCACCTCTGTATATGCTCAGGCTGCTCAATCCTAGGGCTTGTCTGGCAGTGTGATTTGCCAGCATTCAGTTCTGGTGTGTTCAAGTGCCCTTACTCAGTCTTTTCTCTGCTAGACTAGTTTGTAGGAACTCCCAGTGCCAGAGTCCAGCTCCAGCTGAGTCCGGGGCCTGAAGGGGTGAAGGTAACTGCGGCGGTAGAAATGACTATACCAGAAACCAGAACTGCAGTTCTAGTAGAGGCTGTTGACTGACCCGCTCGGGAGAGGTCAGCCTGAATATCTTCTTCTTCTGAAAAAGTAGCCTTCCACAACCTTTATTTATAATTAGAAAGCTTACAATAGCAGTAAAGCATCAGAGCATAAATCAAACCATGAGTTTGCACAGTATTTCTCAGTGTATAATATTTTTCAATAATCACAGTAAAAGGAAAGTACAAAGTTCAATGATTAACCTTTTCTTAATATAGCCAAGCAATGTCTTCACTGTTTTCTTTATAGCCTTGTGGTTTCTATTTTACCATAGAAGTGTAAGACAGCCTGTCTCCATTTGCCCTTTATTTCTTTGAATTTAATATTTACAGGTAGGCATGTATATTTGAAATGATTATTTTTTTCATGGGAATGGGAATAACCAACTCTTTATTTATTGTCTAACCAATATTCCAATTTACCTTTTTCCTCTCCCTTTTGCTGTTTCTTTCTGAACGT